TTTCTCAGTTCAGGTATTACAACTGATTGTAACGACCGTTGGATTGGCTTGCAGTGAATGTTGCAGTCTCTTGTGTGGTCGAGACTAGACTCTGTCCATTTTGACAACGGCGTCCCTCAGCAGGTGGGCATCGCCTAGATTACATCGTTGACACAGGTCCCCCCCCCCCAACCTCCGTGTTGGACCCTACAGCTCCACGCCTCTTTCTCAGGGCATCCGAAGAGCAGGTGGTCCACTGTCTCGGCGGCACTAAGGCCACGGGGGTCGGCAGTTCGGGTCCCTTGCGCGAGTTAATTTACTTTAGATCGTTTCGTGTCGGACAATGTTCCGTTCATATTTGTATCTCCAGACTTTGTTCAGCGTATGAAATTTGGCGATTTCTCTACTCTACTTTAATTTAAAGCATCATTGCCTTATGTGGGGGCTCTGCTCCTTCTTCGTTAGAATGTGTATTCTTTTCCCGTTATCTGCTTGGGCTCGGGCATAACGGACATGTTAAGCATTTAGTTGTTTTTTGTTTTTTTTTGAAACGTATAAAGTACAAGTGCCGCTAGAGGTAGAACGGAAACATGCTTAAAATAAGTCTACCAGAAGAAATGCGCTAATAATTATTTGTCGCCAAATTTAGTGTTTTAAGAATGAGCGCCCGGTGTATTAAATAGTTGAAAGTGTTTTTATGTTTTATCCCCAAAAAATTGCGCCATGCCCCCCTCCCCCCCTTAAAAAAAAGAGTGATGTTGAAGTTAAAGTCCGAACGCCCTGCAGGAGAGGAAGGGCGATCTAGCACCTGCTGTGCTCCACCTGCTGTGCTCCGCCTGCCGTGCTCCGCCTGCCGTGCTCCGCCTGCCGTGCTCCGCCTGCCGTGCTCCGCCTGCCGTGCTCCGCCTGCTGTGCTCCACCTGCTGTGCTCCACCTGCTGTTCTCCACCCGCTGTACTCCGCCTTCTGTGTTGAATGTTAATTCGATAACGTATCATCAAAGGAGCGCTTATGACACAACAAAAACAACAACCAAAACCAGCCGATCATTGTACTTGGTGTGACACATCATGCAATGTTGAAATTATTTTAATTCTTGTAAAAAAAAAATACGTCTGTTTTAAATTGATATTTATTGCTATAAACTCTAAAGGAAAATGCTGTAAAAGCAAAAACTACTAAGTTAAATTAAAAAAAAATAAAAAAATAGAGATTGGTTAAAAATAAGAATCGATTAAAAAAAAAAAAAAAAAAGAATTGTTATAAAACATTGCTCTCTAGTACCCCCCACCCCCCTTACACACATAAGACAATATAACAAGACAATAAACCACCACCTACCCCCCTTCACGTTATAACATATGTGCAACGACCCATATCCAAAATTGCTGTAGTTGAATAGAATAGAAAGGGCTCACGTTACGGATTACGAAAAACTATAAATAGATCAAGTGCCTGGCGACCTTTGCGGAGTTGAGACTTGATGCTTTTTTTAAATTCGTTATTTCTCCTTATCTTTAATGTTATGAGAAAAATTCCACTTGACGGTTCGTGACAATCATACATTATGTCTTTGACGTCTAGTCCAAACCAAATATTAAGTTAGGGGTCCAGATTTGTTAGCCATACATTATGTCTTTGATGTCTAGTCTAAACCATACATTAAGTTATAGGTCCAGATTTGTTAGCCATACATTATGTCTTTGATGTCTAGTCTAAACCATACATTAAGTTATAGGTCCAGATTTGTTAGCCATACATTATGTCTTTGATGTCTAGTCTAAACCATATATTAAGTTATAGGTCCATATTTGTTAGCCATACACATTTTTCTTTCCATATTTGTGTATTGACGGTCCTGGATTGTCACCCCATTAGGCAGCAGTGAACATTTTTACACACTGCATGAAGAATACAATGATTTTTCTTTCTTCTCTCAAGTCATTGCAGACATGATCTAGAATACGATGATATTTCCTTCTTCTTTCAGGTTATTGCTGACATCATTGAGAATATGATGGCATTTCTTTTTTTATTCTGCCAGGTGATTGCTGACATGACCTAGAGCACATATCACTTCGATAAGCTGCAAGCGCACGTTTTCAAGACTAGCTCCTGAATAGATCAAACATTTTACCTTGCATTTCTTGTGAATTATTTACCATTTTTGAGAAGTACTGTAAAGTTGACACATGTTTCTGTTAAAAAATTATAAACTCACTAAAAAAACCAACAAAAACAAAATCATTATTCAGATTTCTTATCACCAAGGATGAGTTCTTATCACAAGTTAACTGGTTCACGTTCAAGAAAATTGTAGGTTACACAATTAAGATAAGAAAATTCTCTTAGCTTTTATCTAGATTCATGTCATTTAGTAGGATATTTTCGTGTCAAACATGATTAGTTTTCTATATTTTCAGTTCAATAAAAAAAGATAAATCCCCACCAATTTTAGTTGAAGTGTATTGACTGCAATAAACATTACAGAAGTAAGACTCACACCCCACCCGATAGCATAGGACAATGATCTTTGACGTAGGTAAAGTTTCATTGCTGTATGGCCTTCATGTTCATTCTGACTTTTGAGTTTTGGAAAATATGTGACCGTTAAAAAAAAAAAGAAAGAAGGGCAATGTCATGATGCCTTTGCAGGAAATACGAAAATATCGACATTTAAAGCTAACTGATGATCAACAAGGCAAAGAAGGGGTCTTTGGAAGTAATGTATGGGTCTTTAGAGGTAAAGTACTGGTCTTTAGAAGTAATGTAGGGGTCTTTGGAGGTAAAGAAGGGGTCTTTAGAAGTAATGTAGGGGTCTTTGGAGGTAAAGGAGGGGTCTTTAGAAGTAATGTAGGGGTCTTTGGAGGTAAAGGAGGTGTCTTTAGAAGTAATGTAGGGGTCTTTGGAGGTAATGTAGGGCTCTTTGGGGGTAATGTAGGGGTCTTTGGAGGAAATGTAGGGGTCTTTGGAGGTAAAGGAGGGGTCTTTAGAAGTAATGTAGGGGTCTTTGGAGGAAATGTAGGGGTCTTTGGAGGTAAAGTAGGGGTCTTTAGAAGTAATGTAGGGGTCTTTGGAGGAAATGTAGGGGTCTTTGGAGGTAAAGGAGGGGTCTTTAGAAGTAATGTAGGGGTCTTTGGAGGAAATGTAGGGGTCTTTGGAGGTAATGTAGGGGTCTTTAGAAGTACTGTAGGGGTCTTTGGAGGTAATGTAGGGCTCTTTGGAGGTAATGTAGGGGTCTTTTGAGGTAATGTAGGGCTCTTTGGAGTTAATGTAGGGGTCTTTGGAGGTAACGTAGGGGTCTTTGGAGGTAATGTAGGGGTCTTTGGAGGTAATGTAGGGGTCTTTGGAGGTAATGTAGGGGTCTTTGGAGGTAATGTAAGGGTCTTTGGAGGTAAAGGAGGGGTCTTTAGAAGTAATGCCGGGGTCTTTGGAGGTAATGTAGGGGTATTTGGAAGTAATGTAGGGCTCTTTAAAATTCATGTAGGGGTCTTTGGAGGTAAATAAGTGGTCTTTATCTTTGGAGGTAATGTAGAGTTCTTTGAAAGTAATGTAGGGGTCTCTGGCGGTAATGTAGCAGTCTTTGGAGGCAATGAAGTGGTTTCTGAGGCAATGAATGGGTCTTTGTTGTCAATCAAGGGGTCTTTGGGATATAGGCTGGGCATGTGAGTCAATCCTGTCAATCTAGTTTTCAGCCTTTCTCTCCGACCACCCTACTTCTCTGTTAGCTCCGATAACCTGTTTGCCTGTGTTCAGCGACGCAGGTACGTGTACGAGGCTGTTCATTGAGTATTCCTAATTTTGTCAGTGAATTGTCGTCTCTGGAGATTTTACTGCTGATGTTGTAAGGCCTTGGTGCTCCATGTCTTGAAATATTGATGTGCAAATCGGAGATAATTTCGAATGACCACATCTTTGAACCTTCTCCTGGACAATCCAAACTGTTGCTCTGCAAGCTGGTTGAGTACGAAGTTGTACTCTGTCACTAATCCCACATATCCAGTACACAGCTGGATTACTGTGTCATTTCGTCATGCTTACCCACATGGTTACAATTTTTTTTCCTACAATTCTTCATGTGTTCTTAATGTTTAATTGGATGTCTAATTGGATTCTAATTGGATGTTTAATTGGATGTCTAATTGGTAGCCCATAAGCAGTAGCGCGCTAGTGTAAGTGCCACCCGAAGTGCGTCACGATTTCGTTGAACCCCGCGAAAAACACTAAGAAGACGTATACATTCTTCGAAGGGGGACGTACCCGTGGTGGGATGTAGGTCATGAATGCCAGGTGACTGAAATCACTTAAAGCGGCAAAAAACAAAACAAAACAACAACACCCCCCCAGCTCCGCCCCTCATCCAACTCGTTTTTAAAAGAAATCCAAGATTCCACCATCGCTGTGGTAATGTGACAAACGAAGTATTGACAGTGCTGCCCCCAAGTACTCGCAGGGCTACACCAAGTGTTGGTACAGCTGCCCCCAAATATTGGCAGTGCTGACCTCCCCCCACCCCCCCCCCCGGTGCATCAAATGAGTTGAGGAGCTCGAAATTTCATAATATGATAATATGGTCTCTTCTTCTTCTTCTTCTTCTTCTTGTTATAATTGAGGGCCCACGATCAATTTATTGGTCATTGTGGCTCCTGGTCTTCGCAGCACATTGTATTAGCAGTAATATAATGTGATGTCAACGTTCTACAAAATTCTGAATGTTATTGTAAAAGCAAATTCGTTGCAAACATTGTTACTTCATAAGTCAACGGTTTCTTTTCTTCGAAAGTTCTCTCTCTCTCTCTCTCTCTCTCTCTCTCTCTCTCTCTCTCTCCCTCTCTCTCTCTCTCTATATATATATATATATATCTCTCTCTCTCTCTCTCTCTCTCTCTCTCTCTCTCTCTCTCTCTCTCTCTGTCTCTCTCTCTCTCTCTGTCTCTCTCTCTCTCTCTCTCTCTGACTAGCGTTAGTTCCAGACAAACATACGAAGATTCATTATGTTATTTTTATTTAAATCATGTATCAAAAAGTGATAGCTTAATTAATATATTTCAGTCTAATGGGTTCTTTTGAGCGGGAGGAGGGGGGTTGCTAATGATATTGGTCTTTCTTTTAGACCATCAAGATATTCTTCCATCAATAATTAGTTTTCCCCATGCTTGAATTCAAGGCCAGAGCCTGAATTAGACGCCTTCAAAACGAAGTTGATATTGAGATTCAGTAGGCCTCGAATTCATGTTCCATCATTTTATTACCAAAGATAATCTTTAGGAGAGAGTCAGTGGTGTTAACAAAAAAAATCCGGAAAAAAAAAATCATGAGTCAAGTTCATGTATCATAAAACAACCATTAAAATATTTCAAAGACAAATTTCGTTATTGGCTCAGTTCAATAGCATTTACTATCCATTCACTTAGTTCAATTACATAATTTATTATCGATTGACTTAGTTCAATTACATTCATTATCCATTGAATTAGTTCAATTACATTTATTATCCATTGACTCAGTTCAATTACATTTATTATCCATTGACTTAGTTCAATTACATTTATTATCCATTGAATTAGTTCAATTACATTTATTATCCATTGACCTAATTAGTTCAATTACATTTATTATCCATTGACCTAATTAGTTCAATTACATTTATTATCCATTGACCTAATTAGTTCAATTACATTTAATGACTTATTATAAGCTGAACATCAAATTCTTGCGTACATGGAAAAATTATCAGTACATCGTGGTCTCGGGGGAAATCCCTAGAAGAAATTAATTTGCACTTCTTTGATTTTTGTCTTTGTGTTTCATAATCTTTTAAAAATGGAAACATTATTTAAACTAGCGGTTCTCAAACCTCTTTTTTTACGCGTGGTCTATTCTAAAATTTCATTTATTCCAGTTGTGTTTTTTTCTGTAATTTATGTAAATGTTCTTTACATCAGCATAAAATCCTTTATTTAAAAAAAGGAGTGAGACCGAATGGCTAACATTGAGAACCGCTAATTTCAAAATAACAAAAGACAAGCAGACACTGGTTACAGGAACCTATTGAGGTCAAATTTAAACAATTACCCCCCCCCTCCCCCGTGCCTTAAATCTGTAAAGGGACCCCCCCCCCCTTCCCTTTAATTGATTTGCTGGTCAATCCAGTCTTTCACCTAGAACCGCTAATTTCAAAATAACAAAAGACAAGCAGACACTGGTTACAGGAACCTATTGAGGGCAAATTTAAACCATTACACCCCCCCTCCCCCGTGCCTTAAATCTGTAAAGGGACCCCCCCCCCTTCCCTTTAATTGATTTGCTGGTCAATCCAGTCTTTCACCTCGATGACGTCAGTGTAAACGCCTGGTCGGAAAGCCTCAGCGCAGCCGTAGCCCCAACTGATGACCCCTGGCGACAACGGAGATAAAAAAAAAGGTTAGACGTTGACGTAAAGGCTCCACTGGACGCTACGCGTCACTTACAACGCAGCAACGCTTTCATTTGATAGGGCAAGATGCTGGTGTCATATGATCTCAGAGAAGCGTTATTGCGGGAACATTCAATCAAGTCATCGTGATCATTATACTTAACTCGAGTCCTTAGGAAAGGGATGCTCCATACAAAAAAGAAACAGGGGTGGAAATATTCTGATGTGGGCCAATCATATTTGCGTTTCTGTTTCTAAAAATATTGGCCAAAGCTGTGAAGCCTTTAAGAACATTTCACAAGGCGTTGAATCTTTTTTTTTTTATAAATTAAATTTTTCTTTAAATTTTAAAATGGAAATTTTTAATAAAGTAATGAGGTGGTCAGTGGCGTAGTTAGTATTGGTGTCGCCCCGCCCCACCCCCCCCCCCTGGGCGGACATAGGCTTTTGCCACCCACCTTCCACGATAAAAAACTTTGATGAAATTGGCTGAAAATGCAACGTCTCATTATTGAAAAAAAAAAAGAAAAAAAAAGCTCTCTCTTCTAAGCTCCACCTTTTCCTATGCCAGTGTAGGTGGTCCATAAAGTCTATTGAGATATTTCTTACACGGGATTAGTGGTTAGTGGCGGAGATACTTCCTGGTGGACTAAGTCATGAAGAACGTGTGCATATCAAAGCTTTTTGGGGGGAAATACGTCTTTAAATAGAATATTTTAAAAAAAATATATTAACTGCTGAGCACCCCCCCAACACTAACAGAGAAAACTGTTTAAGAGTTATGAAGAACTCACCTGTAAGAGTCCACCTGCCGTGTCTATAGGTGTTTAGAGGCCCGCCACTGTCACCCTGGTTAATTTCAGGGAGGAAAGAATTTTATTGGATGAAAAGAAAAAGAGTGTTGGTAATAAAATGTATAAAATACAATCAGAAGTCGCAAGATGGATGACCCACGGATTGGCAGTAGTACGAAAATCGACCACCCCCCCCCCCCCCCCCCCCGAATTGCATTACGAAAGCAATTTTTGAAAGAAAAAAAAAGGAGTTTTAAAAGTATTTAAAATAGCGACGTTGATATTAAAGATGATCAATTTAAGCCCCTGTAGTTTCGTCTGTATCATCAAATAGAAAAAAATATTTTAAAACAAAAATGGATATATTATTATTTTCCTTTAACTTTAAAGCCGCTGGGATTTGGGGATTGGCGCAAAAAAAAAAAGGGGGGAGGGGGGTATGTCGACTAGCTTACGTATGTAACGACCATCATGAATTAAATATTCTGTTTTCCAATAAATAATTACAGGAAACTAATCGGAGCTTTGTCTTTCTGTTGTTTTGATCTCACTTACACCGGCTTTGAACTACATTCAATCTGCATGGTCAAACAGGGTTGAACCAGCCGAAGAATGTGATGCTTGACATGTGATAGCCCCGGCCCCCCCCCCATGAGAATTCTTCGCTGCATACTTTTCCTCATACCAAGCATAAAACATCGCGAACCCCCTCTACATAAATAGGAGCCAGAATGATCAGAACACTGATCATGAGCCCTCAAGATATATCAGAAGCTCTTTTTACGTTTCACTAATCAAAGAATCTAGTATGATTAAAGTATGTACCACTCGGAATTAAGGGAATGTGTAGGGATAAACCATCTTTAACAAGTTGATCTTTTCATTGGTTTCAGACATAGCTAAAAGAAATACTAGCATCCAGGAACATTGTATTTACCTGGCAGGAGTCGATTCCACCTTGAGGTAATCCCGCGCAGAACATTCTTGGCGTGAGCTGATGAGGTCCGTATCGAGTCTCACAAACTTGCCTGGCTTTGATTGGCTTGATCACTTGGTGCAGTCTGTACGAATAGGATCCGCCTAAAAATAACGATGAGTTATATGACTGAAGAATCGTCTTTTTGTTCAAATAAACAAACAAACATGTTTGATAACTAAAAATCTTACGATCATGTTTTGACCCGTCAAACCATTTATCTATATATTTCATCTATTTCCCAGAATATTGTGGGTTTTTTGTTGTTGTTTTTTTTTGTTTTTTTATTTAAATTCCATATGTTTAATGATCTTTATATTCTAAATGACCTGAACTTGTGGTTCCCCATCCTGCGATAATAGAAAGTTCCCCCTCATACCAGTCTTCATTTGGGAGACAGACTGGCGCGATGTAGTTGTTGGTGGGCAGAACTGTGGACACTCGCATTACGGCAATGTCGTAGTCGTACGTATAAGGGCTGAACAAACTGTAATGGACGCGATACATGTAAGTGTTAGGGTAAAAAGCTTGCCTTGTTTACATCATGTGGACGTCATGTTTCTCGTGCATGAACTCTGGGAGACCATTTATTATTAGGCCCACCGTCGTGTTGCCAAACTTGATGTCACCCAGAGCTCATGCACAAAGAACATGACGCAAACACAACGTAAACAAGGCACGCTTTTACCATAACAGTAAGCTTAAGTTGTTAAAATTTAATTCTTTAATAATTGTTACGATTATTATTAATAATAATTATTCATTTTCTTCTTTTTTTTTTGGGGGGGGGGG